ATAATGGGGCTTTGCCAAGAAATACAACCAAATTTTTAATTTAGGTAAACTGCGTGTCTGAACCAATTAGATTTCTCCAAGAAAACTCAAAAAGCTCAGTGTCGCCAGCCTCTTTTTTCCTACTGAACCTCCAATATATAAACGTATCCTTCGGCTGGACTAATATTCTCCCTTGAAGTCATGGTATTATTTACATTTATATCGCCTAATTGTCTGACTAAGGCCATGGGTAAGCACACAGAAGGTGAATAGGGCTTACCATCGAGCACCTCATGAAACGTTTGGAATTTTTGCAGGAGAAGCAATATTGAATTAGTCTTTTGTCTTCAGTTTTGGTAATACTCTATTGTACGGTTACCTTGATAAAGGGTTCTCGACACCAGGCAGATAACCTTCTTGGTTCAGTGATGGAATGTTCTACTTCAGAACTGACTCTCAAGAAAGTTGAATTGTTTTTACAATTAACTTTATACTGTCTGTTGAAACTCCTGCCGCAAAACCACCTGACTTATTTTCGAAATGACCATGCGACTGTCTTGGTGAATGAACTCAAATGAGCATTCAAAACGTCAAGATAATAGACTTATTGATCAAGCGATCTCATCTTCTTCTGAATGGCTCCTTAAACCAGCGTCTTCCTTAATAATAACAACAGGTTTATTTCATTCAAGCCCCGTGATGGACGCTTAAGGAAAACGAGTTCACGGTGAATATGACAAAAGCATTTGTGCTAATTATGAGATGCCGCCTTTTCTTGAAATATGATACTTATTCTAAAAACGATGGTTCTTCAGAAGACATTTTTACGAAGGCCAGATTATTTTCCAAGAAGCGTCCGTGTAAAAGGCCTTCTATAACAGGTTTTTCGTTAAGGCTGATCAGTTTTTTTCGTCCTTCACTTTTTCTCAGTCAAAAACCAAATCAGTAAACTTTCTGATCAATACTCACAAAATTATTCTTTTTCTATACTTAATTCGTTGTTAAAGTCCTCAGGACATGTAGGAATATTCAAAATTTCACAGTGTCAAAGGAGGATGAAAATATAAATTACCTGAGAGGCTCTTAGTCCGCCAACGCGTGAAGCCCTTTTACACAACTGAAAAGTCTCTATAGTAGGCCCAGAGGACTGCTGAAAGAGGTGACCCTCATCGGCATCCATTAATTAGTTCGGGCTTTTAGCTACTTATGCTCAAAGGGATGAAAATGCGTCTCCGTTTCTTTAATATATGTTTATAATCTATTTAGTCTAGAATCTATACAGATATTTGCATAACGACACCTTGGTATATTTTCTAGCGCATTGAAGGATGCTTATTATAGGTGATTTGTAATTTGCGCAGACGAGCCCTCCTAGTCCAAAAAATTACAAGTTTAGTCGACGTTTTTAAAGTGTTTTGTTATATAAAGACACTGATATTAATTTTGAGAAAATTGCACAAATGCAGTCGCCAACCGCCAAGACAACTTTTATTTTAACCTAGAGCCTTGTCCATCTTGATTAACTTCTTAAACATTGTCCAAACACAATGCACACATTTAGAAGACAATGCGCATTAGGTTCTGCGACCTTCATAATCCGACGCTAGCTTTGAGAACGCGGCCGACTGAACACTCAACTATACAGCACATCTTATTATATAGGAGGTCAGGCTCACAAATCATTCCGTATCCAGTGGAAATGAACGCGCCATTAACAGACAAATCTGAGTTCTTTAGTTTCATTCGTCGTTTCGAGGATTTTAACTGTTTTCGAACGTACAGGAACCGAAGCTTGCCAAATCTGTGGCCAACCATGCGCGAACACAAAACGCTCGTGCAACCATGTGAGTAGCACCCATCTGGCGTCAACCACAAGCCCCGAACACAGTATCCGTCCTCGGGATCATTCCCTGGACAGAATGCAACGCAATTCAAGCGGAGACTGCTGCCCTGGGACATATTCTAACTGCTATCTGCGCACCCTGTTCTGCCTACAAATCTTTGGATATTTAATGCTGTTTGAGGTTTAACCACACTGCTTCGTAGCTCTGCCTTGTCGTTTAGCTGTTTTGTTTTCTTTGAAAATAGGCTTCTGTATCAGCCCTAAAGCACAGAAAATTTAATTTAGACTTTTAGACAATCGACCAGCCACTCTCCAATCCTGATAGGATCCGGGTCCTTTTCGGACTGGAAAAACAGTTTACTTAAGACTTGTTGAAGAATGCTTCTAAATTCACCGTATTCTGTTTGCAATTTAAGCATGTACTTAGTCAACTTTGGCGCTTGTTGTTTTTCGAATTTTCTTGGGCTGGAAGGTTTCTCTGGCTTTGCAGTGACCCCTTAAAGCATAGGAGATCAACTACTATCTCTAAAATGTCTCTTCAATCGGATTCAGGAAATAACTGGACCATTAATCACAAATCTGAAATAACATCTTTCGGAAACAACAACAACAACACCAGAAAGCAGTTCAAACCCAAAGGTCTTTTTCTCATTCCTGCAACAAGTGCAGCCCGACAGCAGTGCATTGAATGGCTCAATCTGGGTATTCGCAGTCCTCAAATTAATCCCCTCTGCTTTGTAGGGTACCCACCGGATCTTCTCAGTCTTCGTAACCGTAGGGTTTAAGGCCACCTTCGGTTGGATCGTACTCCAATCCACTGCCAAGCGGCCTCACGGCACTCACCTTTTTCAGGGGCTATGAAAGAAAAACAAAAGAGAATCTGATTTAGTGTGAGTTAAGTGGGTTGGCCTCTCTAACGGGAAACACGGCTTTTAGCGTCAATGGGTTTTCTGTATTAAAGAAGCATGATTAAATATTATACATCTGGGTTCTACGTCATTAGGCCTGAAAATAACATATTATATAGCGCAACTGTTGTAAAATGCGGCTGCAAGATCATTTGAACTAGTCTCCAAATCAGACCCGAAGCGCATCAAATGCGCAATTGCATTGGCAAAATGCCCTTAAGTAGAAAATAAAATCAGTATCAGATTGGAACGTATCCGCTGGGTATTCCCTTCATACATAATGAAACATTTTGACTAACACTTCTTCTCGTCACCCAGGCAATCTCAATGGCCTGAAAACTTATACAGGTGAATCAGACAACTTCGGATTTAGATAGCCTGGTGTTTTCATTGGCGGAACGCAGATCTAAATAATGGCCATTTTCTTATAGTTGAACGATGAAATAACGCATTTAATAAATAAGCTATGAAATCGTACTTTTACAGACTTTCGTCCAGCAGGACGCGGAGTATAAACCACCCCTTATGCTGGACACCTTGCGCTGAGTTCCAGTGACATTAGGGTTATAGTTAAGTTATGGTTTAGAAGGGTTTTGGTTAAGGTTAGGGTTACAGTAATTTCTAAGGGTTGAATTGAACTTGGGTTAATGACTCGATACCAGCTACCTTCCGGCATTTTTTCATAAGGCATATTTTACATTTGCCTCTTCTTAGCTTTTTCTGTCATCTGCACGTGCAAGGCGAGTGAACATATTTTATACACGTTGTTATATTTGAACTAAAATCTCCGTTGAACATTTTTTACCTAAGATAACGAACTATGTTAGCTTGCGTAGATCATAAACGTCCTGTAGGATGTCAGTGTTTCATAAAGGATCTTCTTGGATAACCCGGTTTTCAGGGGGATGCTATTAGAACAGCAGAAGGTTTTCTAGTTATGTTACTGTTAAGTTACCTGTCTTATATAAAGAAGATGGCTTTAAAAATTATTTCTCGTGCTTTTCCATAGAAAGTTGTGCTTCCGTCAACATTTTCCGATTAAAATGTGGTTTTGCATTTGAAAGGATTACTGATGATATTGCATAGAAAGTATTTTTTTCTTCGATCCAACAACTGAGTAATGACGAAGGAAAATGTCGCATGCGTCATGAACACAAGAAGGGCTTTTGAGAGAAGTAAACAATTAATTTAGCTTGGAAACTGTCACCATATTTTCACTGGAATCTTAAGTAACTTGAAGAAACGCCGGTTTCACTAAAAGAATCTGTATTAACTGCTATTTTTTAAAGCTGAAAGATGTCACCCATTACAAAGATCTTTGGAAGAAACATATTTTTTTATCAATATAGCTTATGAAAGGATTTCTTGTAACATCAACTAGATTAACCTTCGTTTGGTAATTCCTTAAAAATGTGCACATTAAACAAGCACAGTAACGAACTATTACATAAATCGTGCCAAAGCTTAGGAACTATTTTTACTCACTCCCAAACCAGCACTAATTAATGTAGCAATTTTTTGAAATAATAATGAACAAAGTTAACCTTTTCAGCATGTAATTACAATCAAAATTTATATGGATTTGTTAAGAACTACCATATTTTGAAAAGCGTAAAATTCAAACAACGTAAACCATCGCTGGAACGCAGGAAATGTAAGTTTCTAATGTTCTGAAAGTCTGTCCATGCAAAAAAACAATGAGTAACTAAATGAACATAGGTAGAATTACATTTGAAATTAATCCTTTATGGCAGTTTTTAGTTAAATATCTGTTGCAGATAAGTTTACTGCAAGTGTGATGAAGATATATTCCTCGGGACGATACATTAAGTCGCATGGTTACCAACTGAAAGCCGACATTTTATTTTTTCTGCTATTCAGTATTGAAACATTATTTCGATAGTAAGCATCTTTTTAATGTCTGCTCAAGCCTGCTGGTTTCCGCTGTTTAATGAGTTTTTTGCGAGTGCTGTGCTTGCAATAAATGGTCATTGAAGCTAAGGAGTTTCTTTGATGTTATCTGATGAGAGACCTACAAAAGCTGATTAGATACTCACGTCTGCCTTTTGTCGTGAGGCAGGTGGGGATGCCTGCAACTGGGCATTGTTACGCTGCAATAATGGGACGCAGGTGACCTTGGAATCAGGCTAATCTGCTTTGCAATTCCCACGCAGATCAACACTAATCGATTCAGCTGACCAAATTTGCAAACTACTGCCCAGATAATTGTAACTAGGGATTTGGTGATGGTGATTTCTGCCGTAGCGATCGCCCTCCTGCTTTCAGGCCTGACGCCTTGTAGGGATGCGCCGGAGGGGTGAGCACTTCTTCCTCTCGTACGTAAACGAGTGTGTTCAGATTGGGGTCGCGCTCCGAATATCTGTTTAATCCCATTTCCATTAGCGGCAAGCAAAGCAAAGGCAGTAATATTGAGTTTGGCAACGCTTTGAAAAGGATCAGGTGTTTGAAGTGTACTTTTTGCACTAAAGCGTTTAACCCATTGCTTTCGGACGTTCTACGTTTCCCCCTAGCCCGTAAACTGGTTCTTTGGCTGTATAGTGTATTTCGTTTGAGAATAAGTGCATACAATCGCTGGGACGAAATCTTTATTCGTCCGAAATTTCGGATTCCTTCTTCAGCCCATCATTAGATACGAGTCGTACTGTTGTAGCGTTGCCCGCAAACGTACCCACTTTGAGGATGCACCGGACCAAAAGACGAATCAGAAGTGGTCACGGCAA